TCAGTCTTTCGGGATACCCACGCAGGTTTTTTTTGATGCCTATTTAGTTTTTTTTTTGATGCCTATTTCTTTTTTTTATGTCTATTTAGTTTTTTTTTAACCCCTCTCCCCTGGAAAAGCACATCAAAACATTGATGTAGTGCCAGCAAAAAAGTTCATGAAATAGGGAGCGATGACTCCATTGCTGTTTCATAGCGAAGAGTTCCACCATGTCGTTTTGCAGGGAGAGTCGGTATAAGGAGGCAGGGTAGCTTTGTGCCTGAACTCCCTGCTTTGTGAACAAATGCTTCCTGTATTGCAGCCTCTACGCCCCACATTGCCCCTCATAGCCCCAAGCAGGTTTTTGCAACCCACGGATGCTGTCAAAGGTTTGAGCCCAACTGCTCGTAAAAGATCGTCGGACCACAACCATGAGACCGCCTGGAAGGCTTTGCGTGGCGTCCCAGGTGAGAGCTGCGTCGCCTGCCTGCACTGATAACGTGGATATTGACTTTAGACCGCGACTGCTATGCTTGACAGGACGTGGCCAAGAGCAACATCCCACTGATACAACAATACGGTGTCACACAGCATGCTGGCCCATCGCGAGCACATTAGCGTGGCTGAAGTGCTAACGTAGGTGAACGTCTCCTGACATAACCCAGAATCATGTAACAAGACGGGACACCGCGCAGTGACGGAACCGAAAGCATAGCTTTTTGGGGCATTTTGGAGAACAAGACGTGACAAAGTGCAAAGATTGTGCCGCGGTTTCCCTTCTCAGCTCCGCACGCTTCTGCCAGCAGCGCTGCCAGTAGCGCGAGGCTTCCCAGGCGCTGAGCGGAAACGAAAGCTGCACTGCATGATCTTCCAAAGCTCCCTAAAACCAGGCACGAAGTACCTGGTGGAACGCGATCATGATGGTAGGAATCAGCAGAGATCTGGCCTCAAAATCAGATGGCAACAGCAACGCTGGCCATGAGCCAAAGTCAGAGCCCATCCCATCCATGAACTCAACCTGGGAAAAATTTTCCCCTGGGGCCCTTCATGGGGTCCCTGGGGCCAGCACTCCCATGGATCTGGCGCCGCTCTTCAAGTTGTGCAGAAGATCCTGCGCCAGGGAAGCCGGAGGCCATGCCATGCGTCGCGTCCCCTGTTATGGACTTTCAATAAAACTTATAGGCCTCCCAAGAAGGCGCATGCTTGAGAACTCAACATGGTCAGCGCCTCTGCCAAAGCCCTTTCCAGAATTGAGCATCCTGTGGTTACAAGCATCCGAACCCTCGGATTCCCTGGTGCCTCTTCCGGCTCGGGGTACATCATCAGCTCCTGTGGAACAGCTTCGGTCGGTCCCATCGAGCTGCCCTGTCTTTTCATCTTTCGAGTTTCTAATCATTAAACTGGCACGCAAGAGGGTCTCTAGGCCGGGAAACACCGCACAAGGTCTGCACAAGCACTGCGCGACATGCGACCAGCTTTTACGTGCTTTGCTCACGGTCTCCCCCGGAGCGCTGCAGAGGCTTGCAGCGATATAAGCTGTCTCTTGAAGACAGCATCCCAACTTGGCGGCGAACAAGAAACAACACAGACGTCAGCTTCACGACAAGAGTTCCTGCACGGCCAAACCGCGATGTCAAAATGTAAACTCAGAAACATTGAGAATTCTGACATTGACACGCCACAGTTAACAGGACTGGATGAGCTTCCTGCTCGCGGCGAGCAGAGCTGTGGGTTGTTCCAAGAGTGTTCACATGGATCAGTACCCGAACAGGGCCCCTTCTCTAGAACGATCCCAAGAGGCCCAGAAACGCACAGCTCCGCTAAGGAAGAAATCCAAGTAATCTCACAGGGGGACCTCGAACTGCCACATTACCATTTCACGGTTGCACTGTTCAGGGTCCTATCCCGTGCGCGAAGCTTGAGGTCCTGTTTTATTGACTCAACTAAATAGTGCTCCCCAGAGACAGGAACGATGAGGCACAGCGCTTTGAAACATTATGCTTCTAATGCATCCACCATTCTGGACAAAGTGACTCGTTGGTGCCGCTGCTTCTTTGTCCCTGTCTTGGGCTAGAAATGCAGTTGGCTCTAGCCAATGCACCTGTATCAACTTAGAACCATGATGAGCCATGCAAGCTTTGCATCCCATCGGGAGCGGAGACATGCCAAGCGACCCTCATGACAGGTTCAAAAAGAAACTAACCTGATGTTTTAAGGGAAGCTCCTTTCCCGAGCATGACCAAGCTTGTATCTGTACGAGATGGCAAAACATCGCCGACAAGAATCTTTTTGAAACACCGGCGACTTGAGAAAATAGCCTTCGCATATCTTCACATTGCCGTCACGGATGGTCTTGGCACGATCCTTGGATCATGGACGTAGCCAGACATCACAGGAAAGACCAGCAAACAACGATTTTGAACCTTCCAAGCCGCCATGCCGATCATGCCAGTGGCCGTGGCTTCGGCGCTCAGAATTCTGTAAAGTCCTCGCAGACTTCGAGGCAAATAGCGGAACCAGATCGCCTGCGCTATGCCACGTGGGAGTGCTCTGTCACCCCTCCTCCATGAAGTCCAGAGTCCATGAAGAAGCTCACGGAAGCAGAAAGTCGTTGCCGGCCGGTCAAAACTTGTGGCATTGAACACTGCAATCACTTCGACTAGCAGCTCTTGTCTGGACCACTGGACACAAAGCCAAGGTAATCATACAGTCCTACAGTATCACTCAGGTGCGTTTCAATGCCACAAGAAGCAGGGTCGTCCGGGTATTTATTGCAAGTAACTGCTGGCATCACCGACAAGCAACCCAAACTCGTTTTACCCAGCATCCAAAGGGAGCCCCACATACAGTCAGAAAGGACCCTCATACAAACCCTACTTCACAGGCTCTCTGTGGAGAACATCGGCTCCAAGAGCAGGCCAGCTCCGACAGACTATCCGCAAAAAAAAAAGAAACGATGAAAGCCTCCGACAGTGATGCTTGGCTCACCATGATGAGCCTGCCACCTGCCAGCCATCGGTTCTGTCTTGAGCTACACCCGTCAAGCCGGTCAAGCCGGTCCGGGCCGGCCTACTGGGGCCCGGCTTGATGGCGCTTGGAACATGCCAATGTCATAGAGGTCGGAGAATCTGAGCATGTCGGGAAAGCATGGGCATAGGCCGCATGAAACCAACAGAAAAATTCAGAAACGAGAGTTCTCATCACAGAAAGGCCGAGAGAGAGAGCTCAAGGGGCCAAGGAGCCATCTTTTGCCTTGCTCGCGCTTTGCCTCTCAGGCGCCCGCTATCGCATATCCCGGCGGGCGAGGTGCAGCGCTCGACGGCGCAGCGCTTCGAACTCGTCATCATCCAAGCAGTTTACCCGCGTTATGCGCGGAGCTTGGAAATCTAATGGCTCCTGCCAGAGTTTTGGGCTTCGCACAAGCTTCTGAGATTGTGAATCACTCCTCGGCTGTGTCGTCGAGTTCTTCAAAACCACCTGGAAGATTTGCACGTGATAGCACTTGTCCACGACAGCTTTACCGCTACACCGTCTACACCATGACCTGGAAGCAGGAGCTGATGTCCGCTGAAGTCAGCGTCCTCTTTCGACGCGCCCCGCTTCAGATCCGAGACCCGTGGCGAAGACACCTGCATCGACGCCACCTCAACATACCTCGCTGACCAACTCCTGAGACGTCGACCGCATCTGGAGAGGTTTTGACGAGAGTCACGTCGAGGTTGGAAGTAGCATCCTTTCCTGCAGCAAGAGAGCAAGGCTCATCTACAAACACAAGCCGAACTCTGTTGCAACATCTGCTTGCGTGACTGCCATGTTCGATGTCGAATTAAAGCAACGAGTTCGTGCCTAATTTGCCATTCGATGGCATTCTTCCCAACGAGAAACGGTTCTTACTCTCCCGACTTCTAGTCGTACTGCCAGCTGCCTCCTTGGGCATGGGCGCTTCTGGCACCAACCCCAGGCCATACTGGAGTTGTTTGGGGGCAACTGAGTCGCTGTTCCAAGACTAGCAAACATGCAACATGTTGGGAACATACGGAAAGGAATCGTGCGCTTGAGGGCCGGATGTCTTTTCGAGCACTGATTGCATCCAAGAGTGAGCAGCATCGCCAATTTGCACTGCTTCTGAAACGCACTAGACTCTAGACGGCGTCCGGCCACTGAGCTTCTTATGCCTGCTAGTGGAGGGAAGGACGCTCTTGCATCGGCATCTCGCATCATCTCGCCATCATCCAAATTGTGACACTAAGCGGTCACTGTGCTGATAGTTGCGGCCATGTATGAGGGTCCCTGCGGACTGCATGGCCTCGCAAAGGGACCCGGTTTGGAGGAATTGCTGTCCGATCGTGATATTTATTTTGCCATCGGAGTTTCGGTTGTTGCACTGACGACCAAGTAGCTGGCATTGCAGGTGTGTCAGGGGCACACCCGCTTCGTACACGCCGGGGACAGTTTCTGGCTTTGCCTACTACGGCGGGGTGCCGATGGCGACCGATAGCTCTGCTCGAAGAGGGTCTGAGTTCATGGATGCCGTAAGCGCCAGTACCGTCTCAGGCTCAGAGAGTTGCGACAGAACCCCCAGTCCCCAGTTCCCTCTCTCTCCGCGCCTTTTGCCTCAGCAGCTTCTGGCGCAATGCTGCTGAACGGTCGATGTCTGCCCTGCTTGTTCATACGCACGGCTGCGAGACCCTGGCAGCGCTCAGCTCTCTCTGACTCACAGGAAGACTTCATCCGAAAGCGTCCTTCTGCACGGCCGCACGTAGAGCAGTCAGCTTCATGGCTTCCAAGTGAAAGTGCAATCGACCGCAAGAAAAACCGCCTTCGACCAACTCAATCAATTGAGACTCTCCGGCTGCGACAGGTAGCATGTAAAGCATCCTGGAATCTACATGCTCGAACAGACACTGTCTACAGAGCTTAGGTGTTCCAATGAGTTGAAAAATTCATTTCGTCTACTGCAGCTCGTTGCTTGCCCTTTTTGCAGTGCCGGGAGGGAGACTCTGCCAAGGCAAAGGCATTTTGCATTCCGTCCTGCTGGAAACTGGGCCCGCGCTGGGCCTGGATGCCGGAGCGAAGCACCTGGGGGCAAGAGGGGCAGGCCCGGCAGGATGGAGTTCGAGACCAGGACCACCAGCACACCCAAAGCTTGGACTGCGCTGATCTGAGCGATTCACAACATACTTGTCACCTTTTCGTGCTCGGACCTCAGTGAAGTGCAAGGGTAGGTACATGTTGAGACTCCTTCTGCATCATGGCCACTTAGCCATCGACGGGGACCACATCCTGCAAGTCCAAGAAAAAACCAAGCGACTGAAATTTCCCCACAGAGGCGCCTGGGTCGCGTTGGCGTCGTTTTGGAGGTGAATGGCATAGTCCCCCGGGGACAAAGAGATGACCTGCAAAACACATAAGGTTCTGCATGGCACCCTACGGGCAGACGCTGACTGTTGATTGGCGGGCTGCAATGACTGTACGTAAGAACCAGCAGGCTCCGTGAAGGTTGCGAAGCAGAACGTTCAGAGTGGATGTGGCTTGAGCCCGGAGACTTCAAGGATCTAGTTTGCGGCCTAGCTCCGGAAAGGTGCATCCTTCTGGCTGCAAATCTTGAGAGGCAAAAATTCACTGAGCTGCTGGACTCTGCCGAATCGAAGTGTCTCCGAGAGGTTGCCGGAATAGATGATCGGCCTCACAGGCTGCAGCAACAATGAACAAGCTTCATGCCCAGCGGCACTCTGGCTCAAAGCAAAGGCCCTCAAGTAGATTCAAACATGAAAGGATCCGTGGAAGACAGCGGCAGAAGGCTTTATGTGGAAACCTTCTGATCTCTGACAGCAGCTCTGCCTGAATGCCGTCGTGCCCAGAAATGTGTCGATCACGGCAACCTGCTGAATACGCGTGGAAACACCTACGGTGGTTCAGCATTGATTTCGAAGACCAAATCGCGAACATACACCTGCGGGTTCGGCTCGTCTGCCATGAACATGTGAGACTCGAAAGACACCGCGGTGCTTTCAACATCGTGACCTTGAAAGATCAGCAGCAATGGGCGGCAGAAGATTCACTTCCAGTGCTGAGTTTCCACTGGGCCCAAAGCGATAAATCACCAGCAGAAGAAGAGCATTTGACTGAGGCAGCTCCGACCTCGTGGATGTCAGCGTGCCAGCGATCGACAAAAGGGCTTGTGCTAAATTCCTGAGCAAGCATGAGGTAAAGGCACAGAAAATGTGCCGGTGGTAACATTGCCGATCTTGAAGTCCAACTTGTCATTCTCCTGCGACTGGCACATACTCGTAACGCTGCTTGCCATTTGCCGGAAAGAGAAGTGCCAAAGCCTTCAGAGACACATCAAAGTCGCGGCACTGTCTGTATGGAAGCTGCCTGTGGCCCGTGTGCACGAGTGCGTCACTTCATGGGTGCACACGGAAGTGCTCAACATGCCGACGTCTGAGGCAGAGGCTTGTCTGTTGTCAGCTTCTCCTTCCCCCGAAAGATGTCCTCGGTGGTGGCAAGAGCTTGCGATGACACAGCACTTGCTGCGTCGCATCTTTGGCGCAACATTCCGTCTGCAACGGAGGTGCAATTGCGGCTTCATATGGATATGCGTTGCACCTGGCAGCACAAGACCAATTCGCACGGGCAGTCGTCATGACCACTAAGCAGTCAGCAGGACAGCAGAAGAAGCGGGAGATTTCACTGTGCTTTCAACTGCTACATGGTGGCCAACAAAGCCAGGCACGTGCGCAGCTGCTGCTGGGGTGTCGCAACAACACCATTCAGCCGACTTCGCCTCCGGACCAACTCCCGTTCTTCAGCCCAGCACATGCTTGAAATGGACTTGCTTTGCGCACAGAGTATCCTATACATTATCCCCTCAAAGCATGGCATTTCCCCGCTTCTCCCTTAACCCATGGATCCGCTCTTTTTGATAAATTCTCGGCTCCAGGCAGCACTACATTTCTCTGAACCTGACCAAGCGGAAAAACGTTTAAAAGCAAGAAGAACTGGGTCTGCGGGTGTGTTCACAGAAGTCACGGCAAGCAGCAATATGTCTCTGACAGAGTGCGGAGCTTGTTTTTCCAGCCGCTCCAACTTTCCCGGCTGACACTACTGTCACGACTTGCGCTGGCCTTATGCGCAACAGATGCCACGGCCAGCAGGAGCACAATGCCTCAGGCAAACACTGCGAAGCAATGTGAAGCAGTGCTCTATGACAAATGACATGTTTTCCACAAGCGCACTGCACATGCTCCTAGCTTCATCCGGGAGCATGGCATGCTCGCGCCATGACTCACCATGCGCCAGCTACGCAGCCCAGAGCCAAAAAAGCCAAGAACGAGGAGCCAGCTGCCGTCCACAACTCCCCACAGCAACAGAACTGGTACCAACCTAGCAGCACAAGTAATTTTGCCGCCCTCCGTCTTGCCATTGCTTTGCGATTCAACCAGGAATGGTTGCCTGAAACAATATGCACACCCAACAGAGCGGTGCAATGTACTGCTGTGATTTGCATTGGTAATCATGAGGCAGGTTCTGCTTGGCTGAGACCCGACCAACCATCGAATCAAGGAACCAACTGTACACCAACCAATCAACGGCGTGACAAGAACAGATTGTCTCCAAAATGCGCAGGGTGAATTGATTTCAAACCACCCCCACCAAAACCCCCATTCCAGAGAATGTGACACGGACAGCGAGCAGAACGATGTTGCGGCTTCAGCTATGGTATCATGATTCTCACAGTTCAAGTCTGTTGACACTCCGAGCTTCCGGCGGCAGCTCAACACTGCAACCCCTTGTTTTCACGCTTCGAGGCGGAGAACTCAAGAGATAATGTAAGCCTGGCCACTCCGGAGGAACGAGCCCAAAGCAAGTCTGGAAGTCACCTCTCCCTGTGCGCATATTGCAGACCCACTTTACTGAGCATCTCATATCCTGAGGCTTGGCAGGTTCAGACTCAACTGCACTTTAAGCGCAGCAGGAACGAGTCCGTCGAGACTAGAAGAAAAGCGACCGAAGAGGCACTATTATCGGACTGTGCGGCACAGCCTACTTCCGCTTGTAGAGGCAAGCCACTGCATGGTCATGACTCGCAATCATGACACATGTTGAAACAACGGTTTCTGTAAGAGCACGACATCTTGGACCTTGGATAACGTAGTTTGGCTGTAAGATCTACGACCGACTTACTACAGCCAGTATGGCCCTCGGACATCCTCTCCAGTAAGACGTCCGACTGTCTTTGTCTGAGCGTAAAGCTAGGCTAAGGGTTGTCTCCGCATGTCCGTCACATGGAAAAGTTCGGTGCCATTCCCTGGAAGCACGGGCGACTCTATGCTCAATCACGAGCAAAATTAACAAATGCAACAGCAGCAGCAGCAAACAGCAATGTAACAACAACAGCACCACCACCACCACCACCAGCAGCAGCAGCAGCAGCAACGCCCGCAGCAGCAGCATCAACAACTACAACTACAACTACAACTACAACTACAACTACAACTACAACTACCACCACCACCACCACGACGACTACTACTACTCCTCCTCCTCCTCCTCCTACAGCTACTGCTACTGCTACTGCTACTGCTCCTGCTCCTGCTGCTGCTGCTGCTGCTGCTGCTGCTGCTGCTACTGCTGATGCTGCTGCTACTGCTGCTGCTGCTGCTGCTGCTACTGATACTACTACTACTACTACTACGACGACGACGACGACGACTACTACTACTACTATTACTACTCACATTAGTCCTACTACTACTCACAT